TTGCTTTAGTGACTGGCATAGCCGCTTCCCGCTTGGCCTGTTGGTACCGATCCGCTGCTTCTGGAGTCCCACAAATTAACCAAGTTCTGAACAACTCCTTCTTCAGACTGACAGCTCCCTTTACCGCTCGTGTGCACCAACGAGTTCGGGGAATTGCCACCACGACTTGCACCAATAACCTTACAATAACCACACTGCCACCTCAGCAGTGGAGTCCCGGAACAAGGCCCCTTCTGGCTCCATGTCCCCTGACTCCCTCGGCAGAGAAAAGAAGTTCTGCTGGAGGTGTGAGTTTAAGATCTCCCGGACAGGGGTGTCTGCCAGACACCCTCACTATATGTTTGGGTTTGCCAGGTCTATCCGGCATCTTCCCCCAACATCGGATCCAACTCACCACCAGGTGGCGATCAGTTGACAGCTCAGCTCCTCTCTTCACCTGAGTGTCCAAAACATATGGAAGCAGATCTGACTATACGATTGCAATATCGATCATCAAATTGCGGTCTTTGGTGCTCTGGTGCCAAGTGCACTTATGAACACCATTATGTTCAAACGTGTTTGTTATGTACAAACTGTGATTAGCACAGAAGTCCAATAACAGATCACTGCTCAGATTACAATCAGGCAGGCCATTCCTCCTAATCACACCCTTCCAGGTTTCATTGTTATTACTCATGTGAGCATTGAAGTCCCCAGAAGAAAAATGCAGTCCCCGGAATGGGCACCTTCCAGTACCCCCTCCAAGGCCGAACACTCCGCACTGGTGTTCGGCACGTACGCACAAACAACCGTCAGAGTCTGTCCCCCAACATAAAGTTGACGGGAGGCAACCCTCTCATCTATCGGGGTAAACAGACACCACAGAAACGCACAGACACCAAGCTGGGGGGCTATAAGTAGTCCCACCCCTGCCCAGCATCTCTGATCATGGGCAACTCAAATTCAAATTCAAATTCAAATTTTATTTGTCACATACACAGTCATATACAATACGATATGCAGTGAAATGCTTGGACGACTGCTCGTGACCTTAAAGTAAGAGACTAGTTATAAGAGATAGAAGAATAATAAAAAAAGAGATTAGTAACAGGAAATAAATATGAAAAAGAAAATAGAAAGTAAATTTGACTAAGAGAGAATAAAATATCTGTACAAATACATAAGAAATATATAAGAAAAATATTTTTTAAATCTTTGTTGGAATGAAGTGAATATAAATAGAACATAGAAATGTCTAGGGTGTGTGCAAATATGCCTGAAAGTGCAAGAAGCATATGTGTGGATGTGCAAAATGGATCAGTACTGTGTGGTGTACTGATTTAGAGACCGTATCGCCTGCGGGAAGAAGCTCCTCCTCAGTCTTTCTGTATTGGTCTTCAGGGAG